CGCGCGCCAGTCCTGGGGCTTGAACTTAGGGCTTGGATATTGTCTCTGAGCTGCTGCCGCTGCTTCTCCTCCTCCTTCTCTTCCTTCTTCTCCTTCTAGGTCTCCTTCCTCCTCTTTCTCCTCTTCTTCTCCTCCTCCTTCTTTTTTGTTGGTTATGGGGCTTGAACTCTGGGCCTGGGCTCTGTCCTTCAGCTCTTCAGCTCAAGGCTAGCACTCTACCACTTGAGCCACAGTGCCACTTCCAGCTTTTTCTGTTTTATGTGGTGCAGAGGAATGGAACCCAAGGCCTCAAGCATACAAGGCAAGCACTTACCACTGAGCCACCTTCCCAGGACCTCCCTGAGCTTCTTTTGCTCAAGGCTAGCACTCTACCACTTGAGCCATAGTGCCACTTCTGGCTTTTTCTGTTTATATGGTACTAAAGAATGGAACCCATGGCTTCATACATGCTAGTCAAGCAATCTACCACAAAGCTGTATTCCCAATCCCTCTTCAGTTTTTCTACTCAGGCTATCCTGGAACTGAGAACATCCCAACCTCAGCTTCTGAAGTATATCTAAGATTACTGGTGGCTCACGCCTGTAATCCTAGCTACTCAGGAGGCTGAGATCCGAGGATCGCGGTTCAAAGCCAGCCCGGGCAGGAAAGACCGTGAGACTCCTATCTCCAATAAACCACCAGAAAACTGGAAGTGGCGCTGTAGCTCAAGTGGTAGAGTGCTCGCCTTGAGCTGAAGAGCTGAGGGACAGCGCCCAGGCCCAGAGTTCAAGCCCCACGACCGACACAAAAAAAAAAAAATTCTAAGGTTGATGGCACTCAGGAACCCATATAACATTTTCCTTTTACAGACATTCAGTAAATTAATGAACATGTTTATCAAGCCCTATCTGCAGGTGCTGGTCTGGGCTTTGGAGATAAGGAGGAGCTAGTGAAGAGGTGTGTTAATCAAGAGGGGAGGTAGCCCAGGACATCCATCCCCTAGACTCCCTTCTGAACAATAAGCTAGAAATGTGAGACACTATCACCATGATGCTCTACCCTGGGCAGCTGTGTCCAGGACCCAATCAACTTGGCTATCAGCCCACCTCTCTCCTCTAGCTCTGGGATAAAACACACAAAGCCCTTAAGCCCCTGGCCAGAGAGCAGATTCTTTCCCCCTCCCTCATCCCCCTCCTGACCCTACTCCATGGAAGAGTAGGTACTTAGGGAGCAAAAAGCCAGAGGAAAAAGTAGGTCACAGCAGGATGGTAATCCCCCCAGTGGCTCCCACAGCAGCCAGTCCCCTGCTCTTGGAAGCAGGCTGCTCCTGGCCACTCACCAAGACTGGCTGAGAAAGGTTTTGGGGGTCTGGAGCTCCAGCACTTAATCTCTCTCAGCAGTATGCCCGAGCTGAGGGGTCTGCCCAAGCTGAAACACTGTCTATACTGACACCACTCTCATCCAACCTCATGTGCTAGAACAGTTCCTTTGCTGGATTTAGAGATTCTTTTATCTCTGACATTCCATAAGTGCTGTCTTTACATCTAGCCTACATTAGGTGCTAGAGACACAAAAGATAGGCAAAGTACCCCTTGCCTTTGAGGAGTCCACACTGGGGAATTCTCATCTGAACCTGGATAATAACTAGGGAGTGCTATCAGTACTAAAACAGAAGAAAACCCAGGACTGTGTAGACCTAGACATGGATTTATTTCAGCTTACAGGGCTAAGGAATACTTCCTGGAGGGGTGATACTGAAAATGAGGCAGGAGTTCAGGAAGAAATGAAGAAGGGGGCTGGGAAGGTGGCTCAGTGGTAGAGTGCTTGCCTTGCATGCATGAGACCCTGGGTTCGATTCTTCAGCACCACATAAGCAGAAAAAGCTAGAAGTGGCACTGTGGTTCAAGTGGTAGAGCTTTAGCCTTGAGCTGAAGAGCTGAGGGACAGCACCCAGTCCCAGAGTTCAGTCCCCTTGACCAACAAACAAACAAAAAAAGATATACAAAATTGCAGAAGAATAAAAGTCCTGTTTTTCCTTGTGGAAAATTCTAGTGTCTAAAGGAAGGCAGTTCTGGGAGAGCTTTTAAATTTTTTTTTTCCTCTGAACTTTCTCCTTTAGTAATGTGAGATGGTAATGGCCTGTTGATAGTAATGAGTCTAAGAGTCAAAGTGAATGAAGCACAGGAGCAAAAGTAGTGTCAGGGCAGAGAGAGGGAGTTAATGGAGGCAGCCTAGCCAGCCACAGTGGGAAGATGTTTAGGAAGCATGAATGACACTTGGATGGGGGTGTTTGGAGACACATGTCACCATAGAGCCTAGTAAGGAGCTCATCAGGCCCAACTCTGTCCTGGGGGATGCCAGCCCAGCTACCTCCCAACAGAGAACTACAGAGTGGACAGGTTTGCTGAGTTCTGGGATCACCTGGTTTTCTCCTCCCAAGTTAATTGCTTTGGATCTCTTTCTCCTATACCTCAGCCCACATTTCTTACACCAGTTGTAAGTTTGCTATCATTACCTCCTCTCACCCCTGTATGAGTACTGCTTTACTTCTCTGAAGCATCTTCTGGCCCCAAGGACTGGGGAGGTAGAAGCTTCTCTGTGCTGCTACAGAGAGATTTAGGAGTGAACAGACCTGGTTTATGTCATAGACAAAGAAGAAAACAGCTTAATATATGTATCTATTTTTCTATTGAGAGAGTAGAGAATAAAATGGAGGAAGTGGTAACAGAAGCCAGTGAGACCATGACAGTGCCCACACAAGTTGTACTGGTCTACCTGGAATAGAGTTACCCCTACTCCCGGGCCTTCCTCTTGCTCCAGCTTTTCCTATACTGATTGTTGCATCCTCTTCCTCCCCACTGGAGTGAACAGGGGTTCTACACACATCATACTCCCAGCTTCTAGAAAACAGGATTGTTTTTTGAGTCCCCAGCTACAAACCTCAAAAAAAAAACCAAGTTTATAAGCAGAAGACAGAAAATCCCTTATTGTGACCCTAGTTTCTGAAGCTTCAGCTCCTATTTAGGACTTGACTATGGACTTGGACAGGGGCTCCCCACCTTCTGGAACCAGACCCCCTTTGGACAAACCAAACCCCACAGGAGCGGGGAACTGAGCACAGGGTCTGAGCTTGTCTTTAAGGATGAGAGGTGATTGTTTGACAGAGGGAGGAGCAGATGAGACATCAGGAGCCTTGAGACTGGCAGAAGCCTGGGGAGGAGGGTGGGTGGGTAGGCAGGGGTGAGAGGCACCAGTTTCAAAGGCACAGCTAGCTAGCTACCACCTCAGCTGGCTCCTAGGGGTCAAGATAGGAGGGGTAGGCAGGGCCTGAGAATGCCCACCCTCCCAGACCTCACTCAGCCTGGGAATTACAGGCTGTACATTCCGGCAGATCTCAGGTCTCCACCGGAGGCTTTTAGGACTGATGCTCTTGGGACCTGGGTGTAATGGAAACCTCAGCACTGCCATCGGGAAATGAGTGTGTTTGCTGGAGGAAGACTGAATCCCCTGTGGCAACCCTGGGCCCCACCCATCCCATGTTAGGGATGGGCTTCTGGGGGAACTTCCCAGCCCAGCCAAGCAGGCTACATCTAGGAGAAAGGAAGGAGCTTAGAGCAAATATAAATACCTTTAATGAAAACCATGGAGCACTCTGCAAGAGCCAGAATGGCGGTCTCTCAGCACAAGGCTGGAGGCAGGCCCAACTTGTTAGGCTAGAGGCCCCAGGAGGCATGCAAGCGCCAGCGCAGCAGCCAGCAGCTCAGGTGCAGGAAGCAGAGTGGGTGCAGGTGCTGTTGCTCGCAGCGTCTCCTGGTTGATCTCTGGGCCAATGCCACGCTCTCGGACGCTCACAGGGGCACCACACAAAGCATGCAAGTTATTTGGGTGTGGGGCCTTGCGAGCTTCTTGCTGTAGTGACTCCCACACGGCAGCTGCCTCCTCCGGGCAGCCCAACAACACTTGCGAAGCACAGGCATGGAAGTCATTCCAGGACCTGTTAACAGAATGGAATTAGGGGAATGATTCCAGAATGGGAAGAAGGCCGATCCTAAGGGTGGAATGGATGTAGATGGGGCTGGGTTTTCCACCGGCCCACTGCCTCCCACCTGCCGGTACCTGCAGACAGTCTCCAGCTCGCCTCCACGGCTCATGCCGTCCCCCAAGCGGATGAGACACTCAGCAAAGCCCTGGTATATAGTGTTGCAGCGGTTTGTCCCCTCGGAAGCTGCTGCTAGGGGAGGTACGAGGACTGGGGGCAGGGAATGGAAAATGGTTGACAGGATGAGCCAGGCCATCTACCAGCCCCCAGGAGCTTGTTTACCTGAGAATGCTCTAGGGATGTGACTCAGCGTGAAAGAAGTACCCCCAGGGAACTGAGGGACCTATCTAGAGATAACATACCTTGACTCCCTTCAAGACAGGCTTAGATGCAAGTATGTGTTGGGAGAGGGGGCTTCCTATTAGGTTGGGTGAAAGAATCATGAAGGGTTTGGGGGGTATTGGCTTGGAGGACTGGGACCATGGGCAGCAAATGGGCCAGTCTCTGTAGCCTCTCAGCTTTACTTGACACCCCTACCTCCTTCCCAAAGACTGGTGTCTGAGATGAACCTAAGAGGAACTGAGATGCAGCCCAGATGCTCCAAGGACCTTAGGGATCCCATGGCTGGTCTGGAAGTCCTCTCTGAGCTCCCTTGATCAGTAGTAGGGCTGCAGAATTTCAAGGTCCTTCCTCCACAACTCAGGCTCACACCTTACTTTCCATTCTGAAGCCACTGTCACACTTTGATGAAATCCCCACAACTGCTCTCCACCCTGGCATCAGTGTAGCCAGGAAAGCTATCTCTAACTCTCTTACCCCCTACCCCCAAACCCTGTTACCTAGCCTGTTGAGGATCCAGCCTGGGTCAGGTACAGGATACCTGCACTCACCAAGTGGCAGCAACAGGAACAGCCTTAGGGCCTGGGGAAGCCACCGACAGCGGTGGCACCTGCAGCAACGGCAGCAACAGCAGCGCATGGTCCCTGGCTGTGAGCCTAGTGCCAGATCTAGTGACTTGGAGTGCAGCCCGTCGGCCCAGCCCCCAAGGGAAGGGACTATGATTGGATGGAAGCTGAGGCGGGGCCTAAAGCCAGCCAACAGCTCCGCCCTCAGTAAAAGATTGACAGACGCTCGGGAGGGATTCCAGAGGGCAGAACTGCCCGTAGAGGCACATTTCTGGTAATAAACTGGCCCTAAAAGCTTTGCTGAGTTGGAGAAAGCAGATCTAAGAAGGAAGTTGAACAAATAAATAGGGAGAATGATTAAGGTCCCCACAGAAATGACCCTGGTGAATGATCTGGGGCTAGATGAATGAGTAGGCTCCCCACAGAGACAAAGAAGGCAGTTAGTCATACCAAAGATAAACCAAAATCACACACATACACCATTTTATTCCAAAAGCATTTAATTGAATTTCTCAGTGTTTTTCAAAAACAAAAAGATCCAAATTGGAGGTAAAAAGGAACATGGAAAATCCAACTCAAGGAGTGTCATGATCTTAAATTCATGCTTCAGGCATGGAAAAACCCAAGCAAGCACAATACCTGCCTAGGCCCAAACTAACCCTGCTGGCTACCACAATCTGTAGACCACAGCCAGTACACCTTGTCCTCCACCTTGAACACTCAAGGTGGAAGCCTGAGCAGGTAAACAGCAGACATAAGCAGGCCTTGGCATAGGTCTGTCTGCTGGCCCTCAGTGACACCCCACCCCTGTGCAAGGCAGGCTTAGCTGCTAAGGGAGGCTGGGGGTCACAAGGCCATGAAGCATCAGGCTGAGACGCCGGGCTGCTTTGCCGAGTGAGTTGTGAGGCTCCGCCTGTAAGAACTGGAAAAGCTTTTGGCGCACCTGTGCCATGACAGAGCCCATATGGTCTCGAGTGATGGGGTCACTGTGGTCCAGGTGCATCACAGCCTCTTCCAGGTAACTGGGGATGGGGGGGGGGAAAAAGACAGGCTACATTGGGTGATAGCAGATGACAGTGCCCCCTAGTGGCACTGAAGCCCAGAGGTGACAAGGGAAGGCTGACAGTGGAGGGGATGGGTAGAGAAAATTAGAGAAGTTAAGGCACAAGTAGAAGTGGGCACCGAGTTGCTCTCTCCCTGCCCCCATTCCTACAGCTCATCTTCTGGCCCCTAACTGTTCCTACTCACCTGAGCTTGAGGTCAGTTCTAGTGCCAAGGTCTGATGCCAGCTGCTGGATGAGGGAAAGGAGAACAGGCTGGGAGAGTGGACAGGGTGGTTGCCCAAAAACCTGGGCTGGGTCCACAGTTTCACACACATAGAGCACCAGGTTCAGGTCAGCAGCTGTCAGTGCCTAGGGGCAGAACAGGGCAGCATTTATAGCTTACATTAGGATAAAATGTCTGCTTATCTATGGTGTGTAGCCCAAAGGAAGACCAGATAGTTGGGGGCTGAGGGATATAAAGGGATCCAGAAAGAGCACTAGGGAGGTATATTGTTACTCTAGAAAATCAGGTCAGAGAAGTTTTCCTGAGGGTGTCACAAAACAAGGTAGGCTGAGACAGGAAGAAAAGAGTCCAGGAAAAGGGAACAAAAGGAGCAATAGCCTTGAGGCCAAAGAAAACCAAGAATGAACAGTCTGCCAGATAGCCTGAAGTGTGGTGGGGGGAATGGAAAGTATGATGTGTGGACCTTGTTATAAGACACTTTGTTCTTACAAGGGCCTAACAGTATCCTACCTGCTGGAAGGCCTGATTGAGGTGGCCCTGCTGCAGCAACTGCAGGATATGGGCTTGCTGAGCCTGGCAGTCAAGGTGGGCAGAGGGGACAGGTGTACCAGCAGCTGAGCGCATGGCCTGCATGATGCTGGAGGTGACGGTTGCCTGCTGCTCTTTGAGTGCCACGCTCACCTCACCCTTAACAATGCGTTGTACTTGTGCTAAAATTGACTCCTGTAGACTGCAAAAGAAAGGGGGGAAGATGAAGTGGGTAAACCCAGTTTAGCCCTTCTCAAACCTGCCACACTTTACCCACAGTCCTATCCACACACCTGCCCACAGCCAAATGAAGTTGGTGCTGCACCTCAGCCCGAACACTGCTGGACACAGTGGCCACCATCTGCTCAGTGGCACTCTGCAGTGTACTGACCAGGCCCCGAAGTTGGGCCAGCACAGGCTCCCTGGCCTCCTGTTCCCGTGCCTTCCGACTCTTCATGTGGCTTTCTAGTTGCTGCAAATCTGATGGGTGACCATAAGGATTATAAGAGATGGTAGAGAATAAACCCCCCATCTTAGGTCATATGTCCCTACTCACATTCCTGTGTGCCCAGCCGAAAGCTATCATTGATCTGCTGGAACATGGCCTGGCAGCTCTTCTCGAAGGCAGGCAGTACTACACTCTGGAAGGCTTCACGGTAAGCAGCTTGCATTGGCCCCTGTAATGTATCTGCAGCTGCTCGGGCAATGGCATCTGTCAAGTTCTGGGGCACAGACAGGGAAGGGTCAAGTTGAAAGTCTGAGAACAACCATGCTAGTCCAGCACTCTCCCACCCCTAATCTTGGGCCCTGTAGCACCTTGGACTTGAGTAACTTGGAGACATTCTCTTTCATGCTGCCCTCCACAGCTGTGAGCTTAGTAGCGACTGAGTTGCTCAGTTGTCCTGCCACAGGCTCCAGACTCCTGGAGACACCTAGGGCACAGGGAAGAAAAGGAGGTACAACCAGAAAAGGAAGTTTGACAGGTACCCATACTGCCCCCTGACCCACTCTAAAGTCTCCATGTAAAACTCACATGGAGGAACTGTCTTCTTGATCTCATCCCGTATACTGCGCTCCAGCCGCCCAGCCACAGCTGAGGACAGTGCTTGAGACATCTGCTGAGTCAGCTGCTCCTGAAGCTGCCCACCTCGCTGCTGTCCCTCAGCCAGTGCCCGCTCTAGTCGCCGCTCTATGTTATAGCTAAGGAACAGGCCTGGAGAAGGTCCCATACTCCTCCCCAGGCAAAGAATGGTGGCCTGCCCCTGTGCCGATGGCTGTGTCCCCATCCTTAAGGATACGTTCCTGCTCGTGTCGGGTCTCTAGGGCACGTTCTACATGGCCTGTGACAGTACTCTGCAGACCTTCAAGCTGGGCACAAAGACGCTGCAGCAGCTCTTCTTGGCTGTGTCGCAGCTCCGCCAGCTCTCTCTGTTGCTGCCAAATTAGTGCTGGCCAGTCTTCCGGGGGCTCTACCACCTGTCAGGAGCATCGACAAGTGATGTGATGCCAGCCCCATCCATCCCGGAACACCAGACTAAGAGTCCAGAGCCCCTCCCATCCTAGCAGGGAGGGGTCCCCTTTGTAGAAAGGTGCTAGATCACTTACATGGTGCTCCGTGAGCCGGGATCCCACAGCTGAATCCCTGCCACAGGCAAGAGACACGTTAGTCCATGTGAGGAAGTGATCCCCACCCTGGACCCACCATCTCCCCTACCCGTCATCCTTCTTGCTTTTCCTCTTGAGCTTGGGTGAGCTCCGAGGGGATCCTTTGGTTTTCCAGTCCTTGGCAGGCAGCCGTGGAGTGGGAATTTTGGCGCTGAAGCCTCCAGAAGCAGAGGCAAGACTGGCCACCTCATCATCATGGTCACTATGGGAAGGGAGGGAAGGTTAAGCTCCTGCTCCACTGCCAGTCCTCCCCGTGGGGGGAATGGTATGGGAGGTGCTTACCTTTGTTCAGCACTGGTGTCCTGGCTGTCATGTTGCTGCAGCAGGTGATAAGGTAGTCGGTGGAAAGCTAGGCTTTTGTGCTTTTCCTGGAGACCATTCCTAGGGCTGAGGGGACAAGCAGAGACTGAATAGTAGATGATTCTGAGGCCCCTACTACAAGCACACGCTCCACCTTCCAAGCTCCTCACCTCTCTGCCAGTGTGCTACAGGTCTCACGAGTGATGTCAGGAGCTGTGGGCCAGACCTGACTATCAGGGGTCGCAGCCTCCTGGGTCAAGGCTGCCTCCAGTAGAGAAGGGGTACTATGTCGATCCCCGTCCCCAGGGCCTCCTTCTAGGCCAAGCTGGGAACCAAGCTCTGGCCCTGCTCGGGGCCGTGGCGACAGTAGGTGTAGTGCCGAGGCAGCTGAGGCCATACTGTCTGGCTCAAGGCCCTCGGCAGCAGAGGAGCCAAAGCCACGGGACAGGGCCTCAGATGCAATCTCAGGAATGTCCTGGGATAGGGCAGTAGAAGCCGAGGAGATAACATCAGGGGAGCGAGTGCGACTGGGGGAGGCCTGGGGTAGCCCTAGGGGCTCCACTTCCTGCAGCTCCACGGACAGTGCAGAGGCAGCAGTAGATACCTGTGGTAGGCCAAAGATGGAGGCTTAAGTGACAAGCAGTGAGGAGGGCGCAGAGATAAAGACAGGTAATGGTAGCGATGGGAGGTGGAAAGCTAGGAAGGGAGACGCAGGGTCATAGCTGGAAAAGAGAGGGATGAGGACGGAGGTTGAAAAGCTGGTCCTCAGCAAACACAAAAGGCCTCTGGGGAAACATGGAGAACACAAGGCAGAGCAGGGTCAGCAGAAAAAGTAAGGGGAGTGTAGTCAACCTTCCGTGCTGCTATGTTACATAAAAGCACCCATGTACCTGCCCAGGCCCCTTGGGAGTCAGTTTGTCAGCTGGGCCTGGGAGCAGGCCAGGCAGGAGGCTTCGAGGGCTTGTCTGCAGGCTGCTGCTGCTGCTCATTGTCAAACTGCTATCCAGCTGTAGCTTGGGGCTCAAGGTCAGCTCCTCAGGTGGCCTGCTGGCAGGAAGACTAAAAACCACCAGGGCTTGGCATCACCTGGCATTAGACCTTGCCATCACCCAACTATGACCTTCACCTTACCTGGACAATGAGGGGTCCACAGCTGAGGTGCTGCTCACGGCAGACACAGCTGTTAGAGAGCTGCTGCTGCTACTACTGCTGTTGCTACTGCTGCCAGGAGATGCAGTGATCTGAGGAGATGCCCAGAATGAGCACTGTGGCCCGAGGCTGGGACTTTCCCAGGTCCCCTTGTCATGGGAGGTACCTGCTGCAGGGAGGCAGTAGGTGTCATGAAGGCATCAGGTGTCATCAACTTAGGCTTGGTCTCATTGCTTAGGCTGAGGAAATCAGCAGGTGCAGGCAGCTCCACTATGCGTCGGAGATCAGACTGAGATCCATGAGCAGCTGACCCTAGGCCCTCATTGCTCAGTTCGGGTCGAGATTCTCCAAAAGCTGGGGGAGAGGGGGAAATGCCATCTCGGTCAGATCTCAGACCGCAGTGAGTGTAACCTGCTTTCCTCTTAGCCCTTACTCACTAAAGTCTTCATGGGCAGTGTGGGTGGGGAGTGGGGCCACGACATCAGGGTTTAGCTGTGGCTGGAAGCGGATCTGCACATCCTGCAGTGCCCTGCAGAAAAAGGGGAGGTAAAACAAAATGCTCCAAGGAGTCAGGGCCAGTAGGGGCGGGTCACCGACAGGGCATGGGTGGGCTTCCCTGACATACTCACTTAGTGTGTACACAAAAAAGCTTGATGAGCACACCAGCTGCAGACTCCACGGCACCGGCTCCATGGGAATTCTCTGAAAGGACAGAGTGGATTATTAAGCCCCTGGCTTGTTCTGTGCTTCAGCATACCCAGCCCTGCCATCTCTCCCCACCCCCAAAAACCATATAACCCTGACCCTGGGCAGCTCACCAGCTCCTAGGCTGTCATTTTCTTCCTCAGCAGGCAGTACCTCAGTGTGTCGTAGTCGGCAGCGACTCACAACCTGGATGCCAAAGCTCAGCACAGGGTGGGTGAGTAGGAACTCCGAGATGGAGCTGAAGCAGGCCCGGCCCTCCTCCTGATTCTGTAGCAGCTCCATCACATAGAGAACCTGCATGCGTAGCATATTCTTACCTGAGTTGAGGCTGTGAGTGATGCTTTCACATACCCCTGCCCTCTCTGATGACATTGGCCATGCCAAGGGTACCCCTAGAGCAACCTACCTTCCGTTGTACATCACTGAGAATAAGGTATTCTGCTGAGAGATCCAAGCAAACCTTAAGGCTGGGGGGCACACTCACTGAACTGAAGATATCTGGGGAGAAACTAAAGAGCCAAAAAGCAGGCTAAATGAGACTGGCAATTCAAAGAAGCCATCTTTCTACCTTTGCCATCCCCAGCAAGTACCTAGCCCCTGCTTACCGAATGGTCTGCAGACAGGTCCAGGACACTGTGCACCACATCTTCAGCTCCCGATTCTGGTCAGCACCAGTAATGAGGAACCTCCAGAATGGGACTCTGTAAGGCGACAAGACACTAAATAGTTAGCTAGGCTCCTTCTCCACTAGCCCATGGCCCAGCCCCTCACCCACTTGCTTGCCACTCACTCACTCAGGGTCCTGTTTCTTATGGTTATCACAGAACAGGAGACAGGAGAGGGGCCGTCCATCATGAGGTTTCCACTCATGGAGACACCTACAGGCAGGTAAGGGGCCTGAGCAAGTGATCTAGACCTTTCCTGGGCAGGGGAAGGACTTGTCCCTCAGGTCTTGTCTTACCTTGGCTCATCTTGCCCTTCAATGTAAATCTGCCAGAACTTGACGTATCCATCATGACTTGCAGTAGCCAGGACAGTCCCGTCAGGGGAGAGGGCTCCTTCACTTAGGCACTGGAAGAATCCAAAGAGCTTAGCTTTGCCATCTGACTAGAGGGAGACAAGCCCTGGTGAGATGAAGATTGTAGTAAGCTAGGCTTATCCACAGTGGACTTGCCTATATGAATTAATGAATGAATGGGGGCTACAGAGAAGACCAGACCTGTAGGACATAACTAAGACAGGAGTAAGTTCCATAGGTGAGGTCACTTTGTATTCAGCATCCCCATGGACAGAGTTCTAGGTAACCCATCTGGGCAGCTATGGATATAGGGACTAGATGATAAGCATAGGAAGAGAGTGAAGAGGATAGGGACACAATCATTTGTAGGCCTACCGTGCTGTGGCCTTTTACCACAATGAAGCCTTGCTTGATTTGGCTGACATCCACAGGCCAGGTGTTGTGGCTAGAGCGGAGCATTTCCAGGTCCCATACCTCAGCCTAGAGGTACAAAGAAGTGAGTGCTCAGCTCATGTGCACAATATGGCAGCTCTGTCACCTTCTCCACCAAGCCCAATCTCCTCACCCGGTCTTCATGCAGAAGGGCCACCATTGGGCTGCTCTCCTCACAACAGTCCTCGCTCTCCTCAGGGATGAAAGGGCACCAGATGATCCTACGGAATTGGTTTAGTGATGCACCCTCTGGCTGTCGGATATGGACTAAGATCTCTTCTCTGAACAAAGTGTTAAGGGCTAGGTACATGAATGACTATGACTATGAGATGCGTCTGCCAACCCAAGTTCCACCTGCCCTTCTATAGTCCCCATGGCTGGAAAAGGATACTGAATTTTGCCATTAACTAGAGCTAAGCGCCATACAAACAGGTTGCCCGCCTCATCTAAGCAGGCCAGCTGAGGAGAGTTGAGGTGTGCAAAGGCCAGATCAGCCACACTGCCTGTGAAACCCTTGAGCAGGGTCCGCTCCGAAGTGCTGACACTGATCACTCGCACCATCGCTGAACCATTGTTGGCAGCTGGAATCAGAACAGGAAGTCATGAGCAAGCACCCAGGGCCAGGCAGGACAGAAGCCCTGCCCTTGCCTGTTTCACTGTCATGTCTCAAGTTTGCTTTTCCCACCCAGCTTCCCCAGTCTTGTCAAAAGGTTAGGATAAGGTCTAACTCCTCATCTCTGGGGGCTCCCTCTTCTCTCTGCTTTTACTTACCCCGAATAGCATATGCCAAGAAGGAGTTAGATACAGCAATCAGGTTGCCATAGTAGTACTTCTGTTCCCAGTCATATTTAGCTACAGGCTGAATTTTCACCTAAGAACCCAGAGTGAGGAAGGTCAAAGTGGCTGAGAGCAGGAGGTAGCTTTCCCCAGAACCTGGGCAACCCCCAACCACACTGCAGATGGGAGGGGCCACAGGTGCAAGTCCAGCTATTCCCTGAAATCTCACTGGGCCAAAGTTCCCACAGTGGCTTGGTAGTCAACCTTGGCTTTCTGATACTAAGGTAGGTACATTGCTTGCTTGTCAAGGTGGTCCCCATAGGAACTGGCAGAATGAGGAGAACAGAGGGGCTTGGAGGTGCTCCCATACACTATATGTGTCATAACATCCTGGTACATACCTTGTTGCTCCCGCGTGCCTTGCTTGAAATGCTAGAGTCACTGCTGGCCACAATCTCCACCTCCTTGGCCAAAATTCCAATGCAGGTGGAGCTGTCATCTCCAGAGAGGCAGCTGGAGGGAAGGTACACAATCCTTGTCTCTTTTTCACCAACAAGTCAATGGAGGATTAGGAAGAAACAACCACTTGTTGTAGATCTCTAAGCCCAGATTCCCAACTCTGCCTGGTCTACTGTTCCCAGATCCACACATTTGCCCTTGCTCCTTTGGAATAAGACAAGTTTCATTCTATAGTGTCAGGTGAAGCCTTGAGCTTGTCCTCACCTCTCATCCTGTTTTAAGCTTAATGTGGATATGTGTTCTGCCCAGCATCATCCAGACAGGGAGCAGTAAAGTCTGCGGGCCCCTATTGCCCTTATCTTAATGCTTTCAGCTAGCAAAAGCCACAAAGACACCATCACCCCCATTGCCATCTCCCAGGTACTCACATGACCTGCTTCTCCTGCAGGTTAATGGGTGGCATGGTCCGCAAACCAGGCTTGTTTGTTGATGTACGATCACCTGAGCTGAGGGGCTCTGGAACCAGGAGCCCATTGAGGTCCCCATTGTAGGTACTAGGTGGCCTCTGGCTTTCTGCACTGGTGCCTGGGGACAAAAAGCATCAATCTGAGAAGGCTGTTCCTCTTCCATCAACCTCTTCCTGCTGAGCTTCCTTCCAGATCATCTAGGAACACTCAACTGAACACAACATGTCCATGCTCACCTTTCATTCAATAAACATTGATGTAGGCCAGGGCCAAGGGTGAGCATGAGACATCCTGGGGGAGGGAAGCAGCCATCGACGATCTTCTTGATGGGGCTAGAGGCATAGCTATTTACCATGTGTGAGGTATAAAGCCCTGGGTTCAATCCCTAACATCTCAAAAAAAAAAAAAAATCCACTAAGGACAGCTAACATTCAGGCTGGGATTGACAAATATGAGCTCTTGCTTCAGAAGTCAGGAAAGCTTCCAAAGAGGGAGTATCAAAAACTTAAGAAGGATAGAAGGAAAACAAGGCTACAGAAGGTATGACATTGAGGTACTTCGACTCTCTCTGTTGGTATGAGGACAACAAAAGAATTTTGTATTTTTTCATTTTCTCTTCTGAGGTGCTGAGGATAGAACCAGGGCCAGCACATCGTAGGCAAGCATGCTAATTTCTACCATTGTACTATACTAACTAGTCCCCAAACATGGTTCTGTTTTGGTTTTGCTGGATTTTTTGTTTGTTTCTTTTCAAGTCAGAATCTATATATGTAGCCCAGGATGGCCTCAAACTCAGTATCATCCTGCCTCAGCCCCTAGACTGCTGAAAAGGGAAGGTGACAGGTCAGCTCTGGCCAGTGGGGTGACTGCTCTTTGGCTGCACTCAGAATAGCTGAGAATCTGGGTGACATATAACAGGCCCCAGACCAATTACATGTGGGACTGATAAAGGAAGAGGCCTGCCCCACAGAGAAATGGCTCAGGAAAAGCCACTTGGAAAGGCAAACTCAGGGGAAGGGACATGAAAGAGGTGAATATGGAGGAGACAAACTAAAGAAGTCAGGAATAATAGCATTTAGCTGAGCTTCCCTCTCCTTCCTTCCTTTCTTTCTCTTTCTTTTCTTTTCTTTCTTTCTTTCTTCCTTCCTTCCTTTCTTTCTTTCCTTTTTCTTTTTTGTGCCAGTACTCAAGCTTGAGCTCAGGGCTTGGACACTGTTTTTGAGCTTTATTGCTCAAAGCTAGTGCCCTACCACTTGAGCTACAGCTCCATAGCCAGTTTTCTGCTGAATAATTGGAGCTAAAAATCTCACCTACCTGAGCTGGCTTTGAACTGTTATCCTCAGATCTCAGCCTCCAGAGTAGCTAGGATTAATTACAGGGGTAAGCCACTGGCACCTTTTTTTGGTGACAAGGTCTCATTATGTTTCCCAGGCTGGCTCAAACTTGAAGTCCTCCTGCCTGTGCCTCCCAAGTGCTGGGATTACAGATCAATGATCACTACTACTACCAAGTATACGCTACCACACCTAGCTTCTAGCTGAGTTTCAAACACTCTCATTAGTTCAGACACTACTGCCAAAACGTCTAGCTGGCAAGGAGACTAGGGTTTCAGGAATATAGCAAGTTTCCACTCACAAAACAGTCTGAGATCTAATTTGGTCCTTCAGTAAGAAAAGACCAGCAAGAGCTTCTTGGCAAACAAGAACTCAAGTGCCAATAAATAAACAGAAGTTATGAGGCAAGCCAGTAAGCTACTTCATTAAGACCAGAGCACCTTAGCTGCTCTGGAATAAACTAGCTACTCTCCCTTCTCTGCAGCCTGCCATGAGGATAAACAAATAGCATGTCCAGGCTGCACATGGCTGGCCATGCCAGACTCTACCAAATCTCTGTGGAGTGTAGTCTGGTCAACAGATGAGCACCAGAGATGCATACTGAAAGGGAACACATACTCTAGGTGTGGGACAATGACCCAGTGGTCTCAGACAGCAGATGAAGTTTCTCAGAGTATGGGTTTCCTAAATTCACCCATTGAGCAACAATGCCTGCTTCCAGCGCAACTAGTTTGAGCTACTCAGGAGGGATAAGAACAAAGTCCGAAGAAATATCAATTCTCAGCTATCACCACTGAACCACCATCATCACCAATCAGTCCGTCCTTCAATCCTTATAACTTACCCAAGATCTCTGAATCTGCCCAGAAATTCTAGTATTTTACACCTGCCATTCAGCTTGGTAATATGTGGCTGTCTACATGTAAGTGCCTAAAGAGTCTTTCCTGACACCCAAACTCCTGTTTGTATTTTGAAGCATAGCCCAGTTCTTTCTCTCAGACCTGCAAGCTTTATCTCCAGTTTCTTCTCCGTAGACGCCCCTCATCCCCATTACCCAAACTCTACTATTTAAAAATGACAACATTGTATTACAATCCTGTTAGCTCTCCTTGTCCTGGGGGTTCTTGGCTTGTAAGAGTAACTCTAAAGTTCCACTAGGAGACGAAGTAAAATGTGAATGAATGGAATCAAATAGGCTTACAGATAAGTGAAAGCCAAATCCAATCACAGCCCTGCAGTCTATAGCTTGCCTTCACCCCAGAAAGAACACAGAATTAGGGCTGGCCACCTTTCTCCAGAAAATGTTTCGGAGCAACTGTAGGCCCGAAGTCTGCATTTCAGAGAGTAAGGGCAAGTTGCAGAGTGAAGCTTAACTCTAGGCCAAGAACCTGGCATACATAGCTTCTGAACCAATGGCGAAAGAGTTAAGGACACTGGGCCAGTCCCAGAAATACAAATTTGGGGGGTAGGGGGCACGGAAACCAAAGGAGCGTCGTTTTCGGTGGAGAAGCTGAAGGACATGGCAGAACGATCTGGTGACAGGATGGGGAGGGGTCACACCCAGGGGTGTGCGCCATTCGCTGGGAACGCTCAGAGATCTATGACTCCGACCTCCAGCCAGGAGGATCCAGAGTCGATCTTAAGGTAGCGGCCGGCCCCGAGGACGGCTCAGACCCACGCTGCCCGTTTCCTTCTTTGCCAAGGGACCACCCCAGCTATCTCTGCTCACCCCCTGCCGGCCGGTCCAGCTTGAGGATGTCCCGCAGATGCTGCGTGGCGTCCTCGATGTCGATGCTCGCGCAGGAGGCCATGGACCCAGCCTCTCGAGTCCCACCTTATGGCGTTAGTTCCGCTGCCGCCGCTCACCACTCGGCTTAGCCCGGCCGCAACCCAGCCAGACGGCGAGACGCGGGTCGCTACACCCAGTCCACCTACAGCTATTAAACGGCCGCCGTGCCGTGTCCGTCTCCGCTAACCCCACCAACCGCCTCCACTTCCGGCCCCCTTGAACTCCGCTCCCGGAACTTGCGAGGGCCACAGAATAAAGGTTCCGGGCTGGAGGGAAATGCCTGACTCCTGCCAGCGCGGGTTCCTCTGATTGCTCCACCCGAGCCAACCCGGTCAGGGAAGTTCCACAACTTTAGCAGAGCAGATGTCCGCGCACAGTACTGGGCCACCTGAAGCTCTACTCGCCTCAGATTACACCCTGTCCACTTTATAATAGTTCTAGGGCGGGATGGACTTGAGGTTGTCCCTTTTCAGATCCTGAGAAATATATGGGAATGGGCAGAAACTACTTTTCTGTTGGGAAATGAGTAGTTGTAACCAAACCCTGAAGGCATCTGAAAGATTCTAAGGCCTGGGACTTGCAAGAGCAGGGGGCACTTTTAGCACAAAAAAGAAAACCATTGTTCTCTACTGTTCCCCAGCATTCACTTGCTCCACGTGGCACCCTTAGGTTAGGAAGAATGAAACCACAGTTTACAAACACCTCTTTATTGCAGACATTTCAGGCACAGGTACATGGTACATGTTAGAAGCTGTATTGCAGATTTTATACAGGGTGGTTTCAGAGGCAGCAAGCATCTACCTCTCCCCCACCCCCACTACCCAAATACACAAGATCAGTACCACTGAAACCTCCAGACTGTACTGTTCTCCAAGTAGCTCTGTGTTTAGTGTAGCCAGGTAACCTCTGAGGTCTGAGGAAATATTACCCTCACCCCATAGTGAGAGAGAGGGTATTTATCCCAATCCAGGTGAGCCAGGGTGCCTGCCCTCCTCAATCCTAAAACCCCTAATAGTATTAACCCAAATCCTGGGTTAGACTCCAACCTTCAGTTGCTATTTGCTACTACCTTTACAACCATCCAGAGGCTCAGTGATGAGGAGCTAGATTTGTACTAGGCAAGGCCTCTGTCTTTAAAACTGAGGAACAGAAACTGCCCTAATAGTTAAGGTGATTTGCGATTTGTAGATAGTGGTGTGGGGATGTATGTTATTTAGTGGGGGAATAGAAAATAACCTGGAAATGCCCTGAAGAGGTCTGAGAACTATAAAATGAATCCCTCTGGCTCAGAGTGACTCCTTCCATAGCTCAGAATCTATACTCCAACCCAACAGGGCCTGGCTGTGGGTAACGATATCCTAAGCAGATGGATCTGAACTGTCCTCTGCTTGACATGGAGTGTGGAGCACCCTGAATATGATTCTGACCCTTCAGGGATGAAGCAGACTCCTCCATCATGCTAACAGCCAAGGCCAGAGAGCCTGACCTGGTGGATCAAGTTTGCCAGGGCTTCTCCAGCTACTATAGGATTTAGGCTTATTTCTCCAGCTAGTAAAGCCCTGAATCTGCCCAGAGCAGAAACCACAGAAGGCGTTAGAGCTAACTACAGAGTTTTCAGTGCAAGAGAAGAGTCAGGCCAATGTGAGCTCTCCATCTGGATTCCCAAGATCAGGTGGGCTGTGGAGAACCCTGCCCTCAGGCTTGAAAGAAGCTAGCTGGGAGTACTGCTTCAGAAATGCAGCAAGTACTGCTGAATTTTGAGGCAGAGGTGAGAGGGCAAGACATGAGAAAGACAATGAGGGCAGGGTAGTTACTGATACCCAGCCAACTACTAAACTAATTAAAACAATTTAAACTGTTAAGAAAATTTTTGTGGTTTTATTGTATCATGAGGCATTTGAAACATCTGAACAAATCAGTATCTGGGCGGTGAGGCAGCTGCTTTCTCCTTCACTTCTTTGGGTTACTAGAGCATCTTGTCAGTAGATTAAAAAAAAAAAAAAGACAACCTTTTGCATTACTTAAGTCTTTCCAAGGCATGCGCTGGTACAACACAAACGTCTCCTGTCAGATGCAACTAATCTAACATCCAAACATCATGCACAACACCTTGGTGGGGGGATAGAGCACTGCACCTACTCCCACCTCGGCCCTGCTTGTTTGTGTATGATATTTGGAGCATCTGGAGGAGTGTGATAGTGTCAGAAAAAGGAGGGAGGAGGAAACAGCATGAGTAAGTGGTCAGGAGGAGGTCAGCCAAAGTTGTGCAGGGCAAGCCTGAACATGTCATTGGTGCAAACCCAAGCATCATTGATGTTCTTTAATAGAAACATCTGGTGGAACCCCATGATAGGGTCTTCATCAGCCTGTGGAGAGAGAAAAAAATGATTTGGTAAAGAATGAAGGAAATTCAGTGGCAGAGGAATAAGACAGAGTAAAGACTTGGGGATTAGGCACTACTATCCTAGACTTGGATCCCAGTATAACTAAAGGGTACTTGTGATATGAGTTAAAAAGGCATGTCAAACACTGCTCAACAGAGAAGCCAACAGATGGCCACTTGCACTGTCAAACGTGCTTAAAAGACAGAGCTTACTAGTTAACTATAGCAACAGAGCAGAGGACATGCCTACATCTGAACTTGTTTATGTCTCTAGGCACAAGTGATCAAAATTTTGAAAGAATCCTATAGTACTTAACACTTAATTTACAGTATCAAAAAATTGTAAACACTCTTAGTGTTTGATAATGCCAGACTGTCCAATCAGGAGGAGCTAGTGAAAATACTGACTAGCTGAATAAGTGACACTACTCTAAACTGAGTTCACAAGGGGATCATTAGCCTATAGGAGAAAAAAAACAGCACATTTGGTAATCTCTTTCCTGTCGCATAATACGACATTGTAATGGAAAAAGAAAGGCAAAGCTGGGGGCTGGGGGCTCACACCTGTAATCCTAACTACTCAGGAGGCTGAGATCTAAGGATCGAGGTTCAAAGCCAGCCCAGGCAGGAAAAGCCCATGAGACTCATCTCAATACACCACCAGAAAACTGGAAGTGGCGCTGTGGCTCAAGTGGGAGAGTGCTCACCTTGAGCTAAAGAGCTGAGGGACAGCCCCACGATTGACCAAAAAAAAAAAAAAAAGGCAAAATAACTTCTAGCCAAAATGCAGAAAATGCCAGGCACCATCTGCTCACACCTATAATCTTAGCTACTCAGGAGGCTGAGATCTGAGGACTGCAATTCAAAAGTCCTTGAGAATCTTATCTCCAATTAACTACCAAAAAGCCAGAAATGAAGCAGTACTTCAACTGGTGGAGACACTTGACCTGAGCACAAAAATTCAGGGACAGTGCCCAGACCCTTGAGTTCAAGCTTGAGGACAAGCAAAAAACAATAACAAACAAAAGCAGAAATTCAACACAAAGCCTAGTTGAAGGAACCCAAAGAACCAGTACTATCTCCAAGATCACCTGTTTCTGTGGGAACTAATGTAAGAAAAAAAGGCAAACCAGTTATTTGGGACCTCTAGATTAAAGAGAAACAGTAGGAAGAATCTGAAAGCAGGTGGTAAGTAGCACTGTTTACTACCCAGCTGAAGAATGTCCTTTTCAATTCCAAGGGCCTATAGGCTCTGGACAGATACTTTGTCTGGGTATCCACTGATAAGCACAGCTTTTCTAGTCACATTCAAAGATAAAGCAGGGACCCAGGGTCTGCTCGACCTGTCCCTACCCTAACACTATAGGAGCACTACTACCTTGAGCTGTCCCACAACCATACTGATGATACAGCTATCTGGCGTGGGCTGATGATCCTGTGCCGTGATACTGTGCTGGATTTTCTGGAACGGAAGGCTCTGCAAGAAAAAGGGTGGACAGTGTTTGAAACCAAAGAGGCAAGGAAGAAGTTACCCACATTCCAGCTCTGGTTTTACTTACAGACAACTTCTCCACAATGGCAGCTTTTCCCTGGAACTGCTGTCCTTCCCATGTAAGGCATGATGCATCAATCTGCAGAGCAAACAGAAAACCCATGTCTTAGCATAAGGACTAATCTAAAGCCCTGAAAAAGGTATAGGTCAGAGCAGAGTCCACACTTCCATTTCTCTGTATAATAAGCAGACAAATTATAGCTCCCAAACTTTAGTTAGCAAGTTTAAAAATTATACCCATTGGCTCATGGACTCTGAAAGACTATTCAACAAAATACAGTTATTAAGCTTATTTCCCAGTTTCATTCAAGTCATATGGCTTCTGATATACATGGATCCCAGGAAGGACACATGTGGCCAAGGCTCAGACAAAACCCATCCCATCCTGTTGCATGGCAGCAGTAAGCATCAGTCTCAGAAATGTTATTAGAGAATTAGAGATAACTACCTCCAAGGCTGTGGTGAGTTCCACTGTGGCCTTTCAGAGTTAAATCACAAACAAGGGAGTGAGGTTTGAGGGTGATTGAAGCTGACAAGGCCTCCTAAGGCTTAACCTTGGACTCTTTTATCAGAAGATAGTAGCTTAGCACCCCAACTCTTAAACCACCCCTCCTTTCACAGCCTTCAGGGGCTTTCTTTAAAAGGATCTTTGTTACTTCAGCTGTGACATTAGGCAAGTTACTTATTTTTCTGTTTGTTTCCTAATCCTCTTCAAAGGGGAAATGTGCTGAGGATTTTGAAATATACATACTTTTAGGACCTTGATGAAATTCTTTTCTGAGTCAAGCCTGCTTTAATTATGAGACAATGACCCATAATCCTAGCTACTAAGGAGGCAAGGGAAGGAAGATTCCAAACACAATATAGCAAGAGGATCTCAAAAGAGAGGGAGAGAGAAAGAATGTGAGGAAGTAGGGCTATGGCACAGTGATTGAGCACTTTCTAGCATGCATGAAACTTGGTTGACTCCCTAGTATTGGAGGGAAAAAAAACCCAAAAACTATACTCATAACAAATAGTCTCTGTACTAGATTTGGTATTTTCCAAGTAAGATTTCTTTTGTTGTTTTTTCTAGAGCTGAAGACCGAACTCAGGGCCTTGCACTCGCCAGGCAAGTACTCTTCCACTGAGCTAAATCCCCAACCCCTATTTTTTTTTCTTTTCTTTTTTTTGCCAGTTCTGGGGCTTGAACTCAGGGCCTAGCTGTCTCTGAGCTTCTTTTTGCTCAAGTCTAGCACTCTACCACTTGAGTCACGGTGCCACTTCCGGCCTTTTCTGTACTAAAGAAATGAACCTAGGGCTTCATGCATGCTAGGCAAGCACTCTACCACTAAGCCACATTTCCAGCCTAAGATTTCTTTCTTTTGTCCAAAAATATTTTGAGTGGTGGTTGGAGGTGTGGCTCAAGTGGCAGTGTGCCTGCCTAGCAAGCACCAGGCTCTGAATTCAAACTTCCATCACCCCCCAAAATATCTGAGTGTACCTTGACATTTTGGAGGCAGATTATTCACAAGCCACCAGGCTCTGAGGCTATGTGTGAATCATCTCTATCCTGGGCAGATCTGTTAGTAGTAGCCCCATTAACTATGTATCATTAAATGTATACAGATAAAGTTTTTCAAAGGACTGGCTTCCTTGGGCTAACCTCTTCTGTTTTCCATGAGTATCTAGGGGTTTTTGCCCCCAAAAGAAGTATCTTACACTTTTGTCTTCCAAGGGCTCAGCTTTGCAGTGAAGATACTCATCAGTGTTGCTTCCAGGGGTACTATAAGCCATAGCCGCTGCCTGCTGCTACCCAATCTGCAACACAGGCATTCTGTGGACCAGATGCCCTGACAAGGTGCTGGCCACATGAATAGCAAGCCCTCACTCCCTTTAAAGGATACCACAATCTCCACTCTTGTGGAAGACAGAAATGCATGAACCCAGTAATCAGTAGTTTTCATCCTATACACAGAAACTTCTGAGAGGTACAAGCACTCCAGTAAGAACCTTCAAAACTCATGAACTGGACACACTGGCCCAATATCCGAATTGATTCCCTGGGGTCCTACATGGATTCTAGAACTAGAGACTTACATAAATTGCGCCTAGTTGGGTTCTGTCATTATCAAATAACTGGTAGTAATGCTGAATGAAGCTGGATCCAATCTGCTCCCAAATTGGCTTGTCTCCCATCCTGGAGCGTCACCCCGCCTCGCTGAGACCTGCAAAACCAGTGAGACAGTGATGGAAGTGTTGGTATCCTGGGAAGAGGAGGTAACCAGCCACTGGCCCCTGTTCTTCCCTGGCCTGCTTGCACAGGAATCAGTCTGGGGGTGGGAGACTCCTCCCATGCCGGACCAGTGTTGGGAACCCAGAGGACCATACTCAGCCCTTCCTTTGAGTAGCTCCTGGTCGAGACAGGGGTGGCCAGGGCTGTAGAGCACACATGATGGGTGTTGAGGGTGGAGCCACGACACAGCAAAACCAGAGTAGTCCCTACAATGTCCAATGAAGGAAGGGAAGGTCTTGAAGGAGCTAAATAGTTTCCCCAGTCCCAAATCCCCATATCATTTTATTTAATCCTCTCAACAACTCTAGTAATAAGGCCAGAGTTGCTTCTATTCTTCCCATTTCAGACCAGGAATTACTGATGTCTATATGTGACATTCAAGCTCCCAATACTGTCCCAGGGCTTTGCTGGCAGATGGAGAAAGACCCAGTGAGTGAGGGATGATGGTTTTTCAAGACACCACTTGTGACAAGTTAATCCTTTTTTTTTTTAGTGCCAATCCTGGGGCTTGAACTCAGGGCCTTGGGGCTGTCCCTGAGCTTTTGTGTTCAAGACTAGTGCTCTACCACTTGAGCCACAGCTCTCAGCTTCCCTTTGTGTGCGTGGGGGGTGGGGGGAGATAGATGCAGGCCCACATGGAGTAGGGAAGGGCAAGTAAATCAGAGAGTATCATGGACTTTCCCGTTTGGGCTGGCTTCAAACCATAATCCTCAGATCTCAGTCTCCTTAATAGATAGGATTATAGATGTGGGCCACTGATACTCAGGGTTTTTGTGTGTGTGTGTTTTGGTGGCTGGGAGGGGAGGGGGAGGGGGGGAGAGGAAGGTATGTATTTGCCAAGACTAGAGCTTGAACTGAGAGCCTTGCATTCTTGCTTCCAGGAGCCACACCTCCAGTCCAGCTTTTTGTTGGTTAGAGATAAGTCTCTTTATTTGTCTGCTTGGGCTGGCTTCAAATCTTGATCCTCAGACTTCAGCCTCCTGAGTAGCTAGAATTACAGGCATAAGATACTGGTGCCTGGCTAAGCAAGTGATTTCATCAGCTTCCCTTAGTTCCAAAGGGACAGCTGACATCCCTGAAGCCAGGTGTACTTGACTTGGCCCTTTTTTTAGTACTGCACTGATGAAGGAGATTTCTACCCACTTCAGAGCTAGGAGCATGATACCAGCATAGGAGCAGATAAGGGGTGTAGAGAAATCAATGAGACTGTGAAGGGGAAAACATGTCATTTCTTTTTTCTTATCATAGCACTGCTTTCATCCCAAGAACTGAGGGGAGATCTTCTCAGTTAGACATCATGATCCTCAGGATGCAGGATGAAAAGCCAAACTCTAAGTAAAGACAGAAGCCACTCTGGCTTTGTTAGGCTCCTCCTAGGGAGGGGGACCACATCTTCCTGTAGACACTACAACTGTGGACCCATGTACTGTTCTATAGCTATCTGACCAAAAGTACAAGAAAGCCAGACTCTATGCCAAAAAAAACAATGAGGAAGTGAGTTTGATTTCAGCAGAACCATTGGCAGTGGTAGGATCTGATGTCACTGCCCTTTAGGGCCTCAGAATCCTCTCTGTAAAATGTCGATGCTAACACTGAGATTGTTAAACACTGAGATTGCTGATTGTTGCATAGCTTTACTAAAGTAACCTGGTTAAGTTTTGAATCAATATGGTAAATGCTAGCTTACTGCATTGTCTGTTACCTCACCCAAGGCTAGAGGAGGCAGCAAGGAGGGACAATATATATAGAGAGCCAGTGAGAATGCAGCCAACCTCCCAGCCTTTAACCAACACTCCAGCCAATGAAGAAACAGAAAGCTAAGCCAGCTTTATTTTAGGTTCTCTAAGAGGTAGTGGCACTAAAAATAGAAGCTTAAGGGCTCAGATGACTAGGAAAAGTCGTGTAAGTCTGAAACAACCAGAGGAGAGCTTGGATCCAGCCACGCCTGTACATAGGAACACAAGGTGTGTCCAGTTGATATTCTGCCAAGAAATATATCGATAAGTGGGAAAAGCTCAAGACCCACATCTAATCTCAGCTGCTGCCGGGGTCACATTTCTGAAGAGTTAGGCTGTAGATGTATCCCTACACTAACTTTTCCTTTATAAGCAGTGCACAGCTCCCCAGGCTCACATCTCTGCCCTTTATGTTCCAATTCCACAGTATCCGTGTCATGCGCAGTACCCAATAAAAAGTTGCAAAAAGATGAGTATGTTGGAGCTGAGAAGGTGGCTCAGTGGTAGAGTGCTTGCCTTGCATAAAGCTCTGGGTTCAATTCCTCAGCACCACATAAACAGAAAAAGCCACAAATGGGACTGTGGCTCAAGTGGTAGAGTGCTAGCCTTGAGCTGAAGAGCTGTGGAACAGCACCCAGGTCTAGAGTTCAGGCCTGACGACGGAAGGGGGAAAAAAAAACCACCCCAAAAAGAGTTAAGTTATATCTTCTGCCTTCAGCCCCACAGTTAGGTTGGGCAGCCCTGAGAGAATGCCCTGGCAAAGAGTATGTCAACCAGAAGAAATAGCACCAACAGTGAGGACACAAAAACATAAAGGCAAGGAAGCTAGACGTGGAGGTTAAAGGGACAAAGACTGAAATGAAAGCTCAAAGACAAATACCACCATGTGGGGGATAGTATGCGAGATGAAGTATGGGGATGTCTGTGTGTGTATGAGTGTGTGAGTGTGTGTGTGTGCTGGAACTAGGAGTTGAACTCCAGACCTCATGCTCTTACTTGGCTTTTTTTCTATGTATATGCTGGTCCTGGAGCTTGAACTCACAGCCTAGGTACTGTGGACTACCATTTGAACAGAGTGCCACTTTCAGCTTTTGGTTAACTGGAGTTGTATTTCATAGACTTTCCTATCCCAGATGGCTTCAAACTGTGATCCTCAAATCTCAGCCTCCTAAGTAGCTAAGATGACAGTGTGAGTCACCAGCACTCACCAACTCTGGTTATTTTTGAGATAAGATCTCTTGCTTTTTTTGCCAGGCACTTCCCATCATAGCTAGTATGGCAGGCATGTATATGATGCCTAACATTTTTCTGTTGAGAAAAGATTCCTTGAACTTTTTTTTTAGGGGGAGTGGGAGATTGAGGGGTGAGCAGGCTGGCCGGAAACAGCAATCCTTCCAATCTCAGCCTCCCAAGTGCCTAGGATGACATGAGTATACCACTGCATCCAACTACTGACTAAGACAAGGACTCACAAACCAGCTTAAGCTGGCCCAAAACTACAATTCTGATCTTTGCCTCCCAAATAGTTATGATTACAGGCATGCATGAGCCACTGGTGTCTAGCCTCATGTCTACTAAGAGAAGCTGCTAACTTTTCTTTTCTACTTGGGCTGGCACTCTATACCTAAGCCACACCTCCAACCCCTAAACATTGTTTTAATAAACAGTGATTTCAGTTATCCCAAATCTTCAAAGTCCCAATGCTGTTTTACAATCTGAGAGTTAGATGCTGGCCTACTGGGACTTGGAATATAGATGCAGAAAAGTGATAGAGAAGACATTATCACTAACTTGTCTGGCACACAGACATATGATATTTGAGGGCTGATGGGGAATGCCAAGCTAAAGCAGGTCCTTTGAAATCAGGCACCAGCCATGGCCATCTTCCTTAAACTCACTGTCTGCCAGTCCTCAAATATAGACCTGTAACACATCGCCAAAAGAGAATTCCCTACCAGTGAGAATGATAATCAATCTGCCTTAAATCCTAAGGGTCCAGGACACGAACATACCAGCGAGAGGAGTGAGAAGGGGGGCAGCAATCTAAGACGCAAGTCCAAAAGAATATCTATTCATCAGAAACACAACATAAACAACAACAACAAAAATACCTCTGATGTACTGTGCATCCTGCCCCACAGTCCTCAAGTGATTTTCCACAGTACTTGAAAAAGTGTCAACAAGGCTCTAGGTAAGGTGCACCTTTCTGGCTATCCAACCTTGACTACTGCTATCTCTACCTATTCCCTTTTCCTCTTCAGCAGCCAACCTGGCCTGTTCCTTTTCTAGAACATGCTGAACTTGTTTTTACCTGAAGGTTTTACAATTGTTTTTTTCTACCTAGATCACTCTAACTAGATATCTGCTCCTTGTTACCTATGGCAACTCAAATGTCACTTCCAGAAACACCTTCCCTGACTACCTAGTCTAAGGTACCAAGTCCAGTTACTCATTTCACCCCATGTTGTTTTCTCAACACTCATCACCAGATGAGATCATCCTCACACTTATTTGTTTATAGTCTGCTCCCTAATCAAGGCACCCCTGTTTATAGTGTCTGACTGAAGCCTTTTTGTTGACAAAATGCATAAATGGATGGGTACCCAGCCTAGGATGTCCCTTTTTCTCTGGAGACAGTTCTGGGCAACTCTGTTCAAGTGGTCTAATAATCCCATTTCACCACTTACACCTTCTGAATTGCCAGGAAACAATCCTTTGTCATCCACCCAACTATCGTGTGTGTGTGTGTGTGTGTGTGTGTGTATTAGGTCTTGAACTCCGGGTGATGGCAGCTTTGTCACTCACTCTACCAGGAAACAATCCTTTGTCATCCACCCAACTATCGTGTGTGTGTGTGTGTGTGTGTGTGTGTATTAGGTCTTGAACTCAGGGTGATGGCAGCTTTGTCACTCACTCTACCATTTGAAGTATACTTCTAAATCCAGCTTTCTGCAGGTTAATTGGAAATAAGAACACTGATCCAGGGCTGGGAATGTGGCTTAGTGGTAGAGTGCTTGTCTAGCATTCATAAAGCCCTGGGTTCAATTCCTCAATCAGTACCTAATCAGTACATAAGCAGAAAATGCCAGCAGTGGTGCTGTGGTTCAAGTGCTAGAGTGCTGGCCTTAAGCAAAAGAAGCTGATGGACAATGCCCAGGCACTGAGTTCAAGCCCCAAAACTGGCAGGGGGTGGGGAAACGGGAAGAACGCTGATCCAGCTGTGTGATAGTGGCTCACACCTATAATCCTAGCTACTTAGGAGGCTGAGATCTAAGGATAACTGTTCAAAGCCAGTCCAAGCAGGAAACTCCATTAGACTCTTATCTTCAAAAGCTACTCAAAGCCAGCACCCGGTGGCTCACGCCTATAATCCTAGCTACTCAGGAGGCTGAGATCTGTGGATCACAGTTCAAAGCCAGCCCGAGCAGAAAAGTCCATGAGACTCCTATG